CAGTAGCAGTAGCCGTAGCAGTAGCAGTAGCAGTAGCAGTAGCAGTAGCAGTAGCAGTAGCAGTAGCAGTAGCAGTAGCAGTGCCTTTGATTTGTCAATTGGCGATTCAATTTGGCAATTCGTTATTTAATTGCTCAATTGAACGTTTGAATGATTAAACAACTGTTCAATTGAAGAATCAATCGATCAATTGAACGTTTGAATGATTAAACGACTGTTCAATTGAACAATTAATCGATCAATTGAACAATCAATCGATCAATTGAACGTTTGAATGATTAAACGACTGTTCAATTGAACAATCAATCGATCAATTAAACGCTTGAATGATTAAACGACTGTTCAATTGAACAATCAATCGATCAATTGAACGTTTGAATTTTGACACAAGAAAAAGCGCACCATTACCCAAATGCACCCAATCATTTTACATTGCGACTATTTTACATTTGTCGGATGTTTTATTTATTTCTTTTTGATGTAAGGTACAGCACAAAATGACAGGCAATGACATTGCTGAATATTGCACATTGGAAATTAATTGTGTTCACGGAATAAGTTAAGAATCCTCTAAAAAAAAATTCGAATATTGCAGGCGTGTAAGGGTACAGGATGTATCTATCACATCAAGAGTCCATAATAGAGACTGCTGCTGGAATTCACGTGCGTCCTACACAATCAGCACTGTAGTAGACGATGGGCCGTGGCTTTCCTATGATATCTGCCAGGCTGCCGTGTAGTCCTGTATTAGGCGCGCTGCACCAAAATCAGAAATGTGTCGGCAGCAACGTATTCTAAACCAAAAAAATTTAAAAGCAAACAATAAATTATTATCCTTGATATGCTGTATTTTCATACGTATAGAATTTGCGGTAAAGTTAAGGTTGTCCGCCTTCTTTCTTCCAGCAAATGTTCACTATGCAACTATGCAATAAATGCAATAATATTATGCAATAAAGAGAGAGAGAGAAAGAAAGAGAGAGAGAGAGAAAGAGAGAGAGAGAGAGAGAGAGAGAGAGAGAGAGAGAGAGAGAGAGAGAGAGACCGCGCGCGCACGGGCGAATGGGAGAGAGTGGAAAATGGTCAGAAATAGAAGCAGGAAGAGGGCGAGGTCAATACGACGGAAAACGACGTGGATAAAAAATATAGAAAGAAGAGGAATTGATGTAAAGGAGGAATACAGGCGTATCGACATACAATTGATTGTTCGCATTGAATAGTGCAGACATAAAAAGCTAGAGAAGGGGTAGTGAAAATCTAGAGGAAGCGATAGAGGAAGGAGTGCTGACAGGAGTGTTCACAGAATAAGTTCAAAAATTATCGAATATTCCAGGCGTATAAGCCGGATGTAAGGGCACAGGATGTATCTATCACATCAATATCAACTACGGTAACTACACTGTGTCTAAAAGCATAGAGAGAGAGAGAGAGAGAGAGAGAGAGAGAGAGAGAGAGAAAGAGAACGAGATAGGAAAATCACCACCCACCCTTGTTTTTGCAATTGCTCTCTTTGGGGCAATAGAGGAAGGCTGGACGCTCTACGTGCTTCACTTGCTCCCACCAACAGGGATCTGAACCTCCCGGCTTTAGTCGATCAGCAATGACCACCCAGCCAGCGTCAACGTCACAGCCTCCGTAGTTTTTCTGCAAGAAAAACCTCCTCTGCCCTTTTGCTCCCGAGCTGAAAGAATGATAACAATTAACGCAGAAAAGTACAGGCTCACAAGTTCATTCGCAAGTAAAGCACCTCAGCTCACACGTCTAATCCCAATTAAGGTAATGAACACGCTATCAGTTTTTCTCTTATTTAAATAATTGCTTGCGCAAGTACGCGCTCGATATGTAACACATATTATGTATCGAACTCGCGCACATCGGTTAACCCATTGGATTATCGGTCAGTCTATTAACCTCAGGGGCCATCGTCATCCAGAGTCTGCGCTTGCACACTCGCGCACAAGCGAAGTAAATATTCAACGTGAAACCTCCGGTTTTCAAGGCAACGGGAAGCTGTGTTAGCTTCCTTGTTATTTTTCAGAATCACAAAAGAATGTCCTTTCTCATATCTATCTATTTCATAACGACATTGTGATCCGTCTGGAAGCTTACTCAAACTGCAGCCCTGTGCTGTGTTTGCAACCTGGATAGTTTTTAATTTGCGGATCGCATTCATGCGGCTAATACGACCTAAAACAATACTTTAACCGAACCGTCCCCGTTCCTATAATTTATATAGATTGGAATATGAGCAGTAGAACGATCGTATTGACGTACCCTGCGATGCTTGCATAGTTCATGGATGCCGAGTAAGGAAGGTCTGAGAATGAAGAACGCAATATCCTGTCTTGGGAAAACCAGTTTACTTTGTTGCTGCCAACACCGTTAAAGTCAACGAATACGACTTCCTCATTTGCCTTTAGAAGTGACACTTTAACCTGCGAAGTTAAAATAGTCGTTTGCATATTGCTATATTGCATATTGCATATTGCCTATGTCTATCAGTAAGAGTAGCGGCAGTAGCAGTAGCATTAGCAGTAGCAGCAGCAGTAGTAGCAGCAGTAGCAGTAGCAGTAGCAGTAGCAGTAGCAGTAGCAGTAGCAGTAGCAGTAGCAGTAGCAGTAGCAGTAGCAGTAGCAGTAGCAGTAGCAGTAGCAGTAGCAGTAGCAGTAGCAGTAGCAGTAGCAGTAGCATTAAAATTAGCAGTAAACAGTACTAGCTAGGGCAGTAAGCAATAGTAGTTACAGTACAGCTAGCAGTCAGGGCAGTAGCAGTAAGCAGTAGCAGTAGGCAAGTACAGTAAGCAGTAGCAGTAGCAGTAGCAGGTAGCAGTAGCAGTAGCATAGGGCAGAGCAGGTGCAGTAGCAGGTAGCAGTACTAGTAGGCAGTAGCAATAGCCCAGTAGCCGTAAGCAGTAGCAGTAGTAAGTAGTAGTAAGTAGTAGTAGAATAGTAGTAGTAAGTCAGTATGTAGTAGTCAGTAGTAGTAGTAGTAGAATGTAGTAGTAGTAGTAGTAGTAGTAGCAGGTAGCCAGTAGCAAGTAGTAGTAGCAGTACAGTAGCAGTAGTAGCCACGAGCAGTATATAGTTTCGTATAGCTTTTGGCTAATGAGCGTGTAACTCTCCCCATCGGGTTCAATTTACTCTATTTGCCAGTCACTCAGTAATGGGCAATATATTCAATACGGCTGAACCTTTATATGTTTTCCCAGTGTTTGAGCTGGTCGAAGCTGTAGTTTATTCGGTAGCGTGAACTAATGCTCATGCTTCTGGTGACGGCGTTTTAGCAACTATCCAGAGCATTTCACGAGATTCGTGGATATTCATTGAAGCGCCTATAGACCCTTCAGAAACCGAACTCCCCATTCATCGTTGAGCCTAGATGGGTGGGGAAGAAATATTAGTACGCGTTATATTAATGCGTCAGAACATTTGAAAAATACTTCAATGCTGTAGATTTCTATTTCTGGGAGTATAATGAAATAGCAATACTACATTGTGATTGAATATCAAAGTATGTGAAAGTTGGATTCATTGGCTCGCCTAGTTGAGCAGTGGTTAGATATAGCTACGCACTAGTCAGCACTATAGTCTTGGAAAAGTAAACGCGCGACCTTCATTCATTGTTATTTATCAAACTAATGGTGCAAATCATTTACAGGGGGGGGGGGGGGGGGGCGGGGGGGGGGTGGTCTAGTTTATGCTTCACTGTAAAATTATTGTGACATGTAGCATATGTATTTCACCGTCCGTTCCGAAAACCGCCAAAAGAAGTCACCCATACACGCACACGCACACGCGCACGCACACGCACATGCGCACACACACGCTACTGTGACACATTCACACTGCACACACATACACAACACACACACACACCACACACACACACACACACACACCACAACACACACACACACACATACACACATATATGTGTGCGTATATATATATATATCTATCTATATATATAGAGACACACACATACGCACGCACACGCGCACACGCACGCACTGACACACTAAAGATCTATCATCTATGTCATGGCTATGATATCCGGGTAAAAACATCCGGGTACGAAAACTACGCCGAACCTCAAACCATAGATGAGGTGTTTGTATATATCTATGCTCAAACCAAGAAGTCGCCATAGGTAGGTATTCATTTTTAATTAAACAGCTACACCATTTTCGATGCTCAACAAGATTTTTAAACCGAACAAGCAATGTGCAACCACTTGTGCTAGTCACGGGGAAGCTGCACTACACGTGAAATTCGGCCGATGAACTTTTTGTTTAAGCGACTTAGTTACAATTTCAACATGTTAAGTACGGAATTTAATTACATCCAGGACGTTAATTTGCCCATATCTACCAGTAGAGTACTTGTTAAGTGCCAAAGGTCTTACTACACTGGTCTGGCGGCTGTGTCCTGCACGCTGAACTGTGGCATCACTGTCACGTTGAGATGCATGGGGGAACACGTCGACGGTTGTTCGTATTCCATGGATGTAGCATTGCTGAGAGCCAGCCTGACAGCAGAGACCAGATGACAAAATCGTCACCGTCAACGACATGGTTCCCTGAAGATGGCAGCCGTCACTTATATATCTATAATCGTCAACTTTATATAGTAAACGTTATAAGTCCAATAGCGAAAAAATTAGTAAGTTTAATTCGTTGACACGGATGTTAGCGAATGATTTGTTTCACGCTATCTAATTGTGGGGTGTACCTCAACCACCCGCAGCAACGTTTCTGCTCCTCTCTCTCTCTTCTCTCTCTCTCTCTCTCTCTCTCTCTCTCTTCTCTCTCTCTCTCTCTCTCTCTCTCTCTCTCTCTCTCTTCTCCTCTCTCTCTCTCTCAGCTCTCTCTCTCTCTCTCTCTCTCTCTCTCTCTCTCTCTGCTCTCTTTCTCTCTCTGCTGCTCTCATCTCTCTGCTCTCTCTCCTCTCTCTCCTCTCTCTCTCTCGCTCTCTCTCTCTCTCTCCGTCTCCCTCTCTCTCTCATCTCTCTCTCTCTCTCTCTCTCTCTTCTCTCTCTCTCTCTCTCTATGCTTTTTAGGCACAGTGTAGTTACGTAGTTGATCATTATGTGATAGTAAACCGACCAGGCTCTCCGACTTGTTTACACAACGTAGTGTTACAGCGAGAAGACTTGTGCTAACAATGTGATAGATACATCCTGTAGCGCGCTTACCTGGAATCTTCGGATAATTTTTGAACTATTCTTGAACACAATGTAATTCCAATGTGCAATATTCAGCTAATGTCATCGTCTGTCCATTTGTACTTTAATAATAGTTTCCTTTTATCAACATGAAATAAAAAAACATCCGACAAATGTAAAATAGTCGAAGTACAAATGATTCACCAACAAATCGGCGTTAAAAATCACGTTAGAGTGTTTCATAGAATATTACTAATGCATGATATAATTGAAAAAGAACATAGTACACATTAATAGTGTAAGCGTGCTGATACGTCTACATCACTTAATAAAGCACAAGAACACAAGGAGAAGACAGTGCCACAAAGATAGATTATTACAAGAAAATCCCTGTAAAATAGGTTAACACCGATAGTAGCAGAAGGTGCCAAAGACAAGCAAGCTAGTGCGAGTGCTATTCTTACAAACAGATTGAAGAACTTCCACGTTAAGCACTATAAGAACTAATCGTCCGAGAAGAGATAGATACAAGATTAGAAAGTAGCCAAGTAAATCAGACAGAGTCAGCAAGCCTAAAGCCAATCCGCTTATTAAGAAAGAACTTACGTAGCAGGTGCGACTTCAACGATAACGATGCACGAACACCAGGCATATACAGGACTAAAACTCTAGACGTTTTCGCGTTCCTTTATATAAGCTCTAATTTATCTATTCGAATCGGAGTCCGGTCAACTCGGTATCTGCCAACTCGTTCGCCGGCTAAGCTCGTGGAGATGTTCACACGCGCCAACTCTAATATCCTCGCGAACCATTTAAGTTACATTCTAACATTCTAAGATACATATAAACATATGTCTAGCCTATGATTTCTGTGATTTTTGAGTTTATTGAAGCACGAATAGTATAATAATTACCAGACAATATACGTATCGCGCGCTATCGTCATATAGGCTAATATACGCGCGTATCGTCAGAGGCTAAATCTCGCGAACGTTTGAGTTACATTTCTAAAATTCAGATACATATAAACCATGTCCTTAGCTATGATTCTGTGATTTTTGAGTTTTATTGAAGCAGCGATCAATTTAATTATTGCCAGAAATATTGAAACGTCTATTTTATACGCGTTAACATGAATTAGTCAGTGGAGCTAGACGGGTAGTTTTTTTAGCCCATAGTCCCAGCTAGACAGCGTCGCTCACAGATGGGCGGCTACATTGATGTATTAGGGAGAAGGCAGGACGTGGTTAGGTAGGCAGTTTGAGCAGTCAGTGTGAAATTGGGGTAGAACGTAGTCTCGAGAACGGGTACATGTGCGGGGCAGTATGGTTGTAGAGTTTTGGGGGGTAATAGAGAGAAAGAGAGATTGGGGCTGGTCTGGCGCGAGAGGAGCGCGCACGCGT